ATATATATATATATATATATATTCATATATTCCTAATCATATATACACGTACACGTACACAGCAACATGCATTCAAGTAAATACAAAGATAGATGCAAGCAGCAGTAGCATAAACACCTATACACATCTGCATGCATAAAAAATCAACTAAAAGCAAAGATGAAGGGGCGGGAAACAAGCATCAATTCACAGACATACTACTCCTTGTTCAGGTGTATATGGAGGGCGCACAGAGATGTTTAGCAGCCTCTGATTTATTAAGCACCAAGGCTTGTCTTCATAAATGCAGCGAGGCAATTAGAACAGCCCTGGAGATAGACGACAGACTGCTGAGGTGATTGAATTTGCTTTGTTTGTCTTTAAATTAATAAATAATTATATCTGTGGTTATATATGATGCTGCTCTCTGTCTGTTTGCCTTTGCTTTTCTGTTGCGACTGCTGCTTATGCATGCATATTACAGTTGATATATGCAGAGCTTTCTTCTTCTTGTATTTGTTTGTTGGTTTGTTCTTTGCTTTTTAGTATTTGTTTGTGCATTTGCTGCTGAGCCTGCTTGATATTCTTTTGTATTGACTGTCTTTAATTGTTATTAATGAATTAAAGTAAATATATCATTATTATTTTTATTTATTTATTCATTTATAATTATGCAGGAGCGCAGGATATCTGCACGGCTGGGAATCTGTTTCTTGTTTGCGTTTGCAGTGTGTGGCTGTATGGTGCGTTAATCTTTTTTCTATTTGTTTCTTATATTTCTTTTCTTTTTAAATTTATTTATTTCTTTTAATTGTTGGCTGCAGGGTTGAGCTACACCTGAACAAGAAGAATGCAGAAGAGATGCAGCTGGTAAGCAAACGCACGAAGTAAATAGCATTAAGAAAAGAGAAAAACTTTATCTTTATACACATAAACAGACAGACAAACAACAAACGACAGAAGCTGAAAATGCAATCAAAATGCAGCTTTCAGCTTGGCGCTCGCGTCTGCCTGCTGCTGCTGTTCAGGAGGTAATACTCCTCTTGATTATATATATATAATATATATATATATATTATATATTAGCATGGTTTTCTGTTCGTTATAGCTCTGTCTCTGCTGCATCTCTTTCTGTCTCTGTCTTTGTCTGTTTTAATCTCTTTTCGCTATTTCTGTATTTTCTCTCGTTTTTTGTTAGTCGCCATTTAAACATTTTATTTTCTCTGCCTTTTGTAGCTGCTCTCCGTCTCTTTCTGTTTTTGCTTTTTCATCTCCTTCTTTCTTTCTCTTCTTCTTTCTTCTTTGTGTCTGTCTGGCTGTTTGTCTCTCTCTCTCTGACCCCTAAACCCTAAACCCTAAACCCTAAACTCTTTTCGTTCCAGCTTATCTCAGACTGCGGCTTTCGTTTGGCTGCTTTAAGCAGCAGGGCATTCAGCAGCAACAGCTTTGGGTTGGCTTTGCTGCTGGGAGGAGCAGCAGAAGCTGCGTTGCAGGTACGTAGATAATACAACAACTTGAGTATTAAACGATAGACTCAAATGCACCTTTGGGGTGTATATATAGCTCTGCAACAAAGAAGAAACGAACGATGAAGGAGACAGCCTACAGCGCATGCAAGCTTCTGTTGCTGCATTATCTGGAGAGTGTTATTTTAGGTAGAGGAGTTTTCTTTTTATCCTTTCAAATAAATAAATAAAAACAAATAAATCAAACAGAATGCGCAAGCCAACCGCAGCAACACAAACACTGCAACGTGTAATCAGCTGCCTAATCGCCACCGGGCAGAAGTACAACTCCCTCTACTTCCACGTCTTAACTGTTAGCTGCTGCGCCCTCCTATCGCTGCAACAGCAGCAGCAGCAGCAGCAGCAGCAGCAGCACGAAGAGCAGCAGAAAGACGACGCTGAAAGGAGGTAGGTGTTGTAGTGGTTTGTCGTTGGTGAGTATTCCCTGTTGTAGCAGCAGATATGTTTTCTCAGCTCTTATGGTGGCTTGGAGCTGCAGCAGCAGCTGCAGCAGCAGCTGCAGCAGCTGTTTGCTGCAGATGCTGCAACAGAGCACGTGCAGTTATTTCTTTTCTGCTGTCAGCACCACACGATGTGCGAGTCTCTGTCTGTTTTGAATTCAGCAGCAAAAATAAATAATATTAAACTGAGGGCAGAACTTGCACATACTGTCGTTTCCTACTTGCAGCAGCAAACAACAGCAACACCAGCAGCAGCAGCAGCAGCATCTCCAGTGCCGGCAGCAGCACGCACCACAACACCAGCAGCAGCAGCAGCAGCAACGAGGGAACAAAGCGAGAGTTGTCTTTCGGTTTGTTATAATTTAGAGTTGGTGCTGAAGACAGTCGTAGAGAAGTGGAGAGAAGAAAGCGAAGAGAATTTGAAAGACGAAGAAAAAAAATTTTCTTCATTTCTTCTGGACGTCTTTGTTGACTTCATTGGTAATTACCTTAGACTAAAAAAAAAGAAATATAATTAAATAATCAAATGCAATTAAACATTTATTTAAAAGAAAATTAAAACAAAGTATTAACACTTATTTCAACGGTTGCTGCTATGCAGAGCTGTTGCTGCAGCAACAGAGGTGGGCAGACGCCATTCAGTGGATTGAACAGATAGAAGCAGCAGCAGCAGCAGCAGCAGCAACAACAGCAACAGCAGCAGAAGCACCGTCAGCAGCAGCACCAGCAGCAGTAACAGCAGCAGAAACACCGTCAGCAGCAGCACCAGCAGCAGTAACAGCAGCAACACCGGCAGCCGCAGCAACAGCAGCAGCAACAGCAACAACAGCAACAGCAGCGGCAGCAACAGCAGCAGCAAAGGGAGGGTTAGATAATTTGATGATCGGTCGTCTGTCTCTGCATTTGGCGTTTGCATTTTGCCGCAGTGGACAGCCGCTAAAGGCTTTAGAAGGTGCGTAGTTGTTGTCTTTTAATTCTTTTTCATTTATTATTATTATTATTATTATTATTATTGGTATTATATTAGTATTGTGTCTGTTGTTGTTAATATTATTACTTTTATTATTTTCTTTATTAATCTCCACTATCATTATTTCTGTTGCTCTCTGCACCCCCGGCAGTTCTCGATAGAGAAGAAGTATCAAACGGATTCAAAGCAGCAGCAGCAGCAGCAGCAGCATCACCAGCAGGAGCAGCAGCAGCAGCATCAGCAGCATCACCAGCAGCAGCAGCAGCAGCAGAAGCAGAGGGTGATCGTTTGTGTCGTACGCGGGAGTTGCTGCGTCTGAGTGCTTTTCTGTCTACTGGCAGCAATGAAGCTGCTGTCTCTGTTTGTATTAGTCTATCAAAGGGGGCCCCTCTATCACGAGAAGAAGCCTTTGCTCTCTGTAGTGAATGCTTCAGCAATAATGAGGTAAAGATAAACAATATATATTCGGGTGTGTGTATTGAGATGCTTTTATTATAATTATACTGTTGTTATTAGTTAGGTAGTAATGTACGCATCTTAATTGCTTATGTTTATTTTTGTAATGTCAATATATTTTATTATTTTATTATTATTGTTATTATAATGGTGTACTAACAATAAATAGAATAATACGAGTAATATTAATAATATTAATAATATTAACAATCTTGATAATAATAATAATATTAAATAACACTGGACAAAGAAGGTAATAGTTATAAACGCAAGAAAATATAATAACAATAATATTAACCCCATAGAATAAGAATAAGAATAAGAATGAGAATAAGAATGAAAATAAGAATAAGAATAAGAATAAGAATAAGAATAGTAATAACAAAAGTAATAATATAAACATAATGCGTAAGACATTGCACTGTAAAAAGACGTACAAAGTATATTGCAATACTAACAATTTTTTATTTGTTTTATTATTTTGCTCTTCTACAGACTACAGACCCTCGGGTAGCCCTCCAATGTTTGCTGCTTCTTCTAACAGCACTCGCTAGAGCAGCACCTCAAGACGTTCCTGACAGCAGCAGCAGCAGCAGCAGCAGCAGTGAAAGTGACAGCATCAGCAATATGTGCAGCAGCAGCAGCAACAGCAACAGCAGCAGCAACAGCAGGCGAAGAGAGTTTCTGATCTCCAGCCTCAGCACAGTCCTTTCACCGCAAACTACGAGAGGTTGTGCGTTGTCCAGTGGAGTAACAGCAACAGCAGCAGCAGCAGAAACAGCAGCAGCAACAGCAGCAGCAGCAGCAGCAGCAGGAGAAAAAGAAGAGGGGTCTAATTGCTGTTTGCTGCAGCTGAGTGCGTTGATGCTGCAGAAGAGCAGAGAAGCGAAGTGCAGTCGAGACGCCGCTCTTCGTCTTTGTAATTTGTTGGTGTGTCGAACTCACAAATTAAATTAAATTAAATTAAATTAAATTAAATTAAATTAAATTAGAGATGCGGTGTATCGGCAGCGGCTTTTTATTTCTTCTTGTTATTTAGGGGGCCTGCAAACATTTCTCTTCAGCAGAGGAACCCGAGGCAGCGAAGTACATCAACGCCTTCTGGTAAGCTGCTGCTGTTGCTGCTGCTGCTGCTGCTGTTGCTTTTGCTGCTTAATTGCCGTCGCTTGCTTCGCGTCTCATTCGGGTGTACGTACAGCTGCGCAGAAGGCGGCATGGCGTTTACAGAAGCAGCTGAGTCTTCAGACCCAGAGCAGCAGCAGAAGATTTATTTTGACTGTAAGCATTACATTAGCAGCAGGAGCAGCAACAGCAGCAGCAGCAGGCTTAGTTGGTGCAGTTGAGCGTTTGAAAAGACAGCAATTTCGTTCTCTAATTCTGTGTATACACCCCAGCTGCTGAGTTGTACTCGCTTGCGGCCCACTGCGCCACCGAGACAGAAGAAAAAGAAACAAATATCTTTCTCGCTGCCTCTGCTGTTGTTGCTGCAGCGCGCAGCAAACTGCAAAACCTTTCAGTTGGGGCCCCCTCTGTTAGCCTGCTGCAGGGAAGAGAGGGTGTTGGCGGTGCGTTGTTTGCTGCAGCAGCAGCTCTAAATCAGCTGCAGATACACCTGAGAGGCCGCGTAAGTGCATGCGTTTATAAGAAAATCTTTTTAAAGATTTAAGCGAAGAGATGAATCGATGTGTACACTCTAATAGGCAACCAAGACGAGGGCTAGCGAAAATCTTCTGCGTTTATGTTTGCTGTTGGAGTTTGAAGGGGCGTGTCTGCTGTCTGTAGGAACAACAAAGAGAAAAGAAACAAGAAAAAGAAAGAAAACAACAGCTGAAGCAGAAAGAGAAGCACAAACAGAGATAGCAGAGATAGCAGCAGCAGCAGCAACAGAAGAGGAAGAGGACGAAGCAAATGAAGCAATTGAAGAAGATGAAGAAGAAGAAAACGAAGGAGATAAAATCAAACAAAACGACAAAAACTACATCGTCTTCAGCCCCAAACAAATAGCAGAAAAAGCTTTTAAAGAAGATCTCTTAGGCCTTGTTGGGTGTACGTACAGCTGGTGTTTTGTTTTGTCTCTATGTGCGCCTCTCACCTATTTATTTTGTTGTTTTGCATAAACAATGCTGCAGCAGAGATGCTGCTCTCTACTGCATTAGAGACAGCAGACGAAGAAATTATCTCGTCGATCGCTATTCAGGTTTTAGGTGTATGTACAGCTCGAGAGGTGCGTCAGCAGCACCAGTTGTTTTGCTGCTCTTCACTCTCATTATTGTTTGCTTCTTTCCCTTCTCCTACGCACCGTGTAGTAGCGCTAATTCAAAGTTTTCTGATGCTCCCTACTAAACCCTAAACCCTAAACCCTAAACCCTAAACCCTAAACCCTATGGAGAGTTTATTTTTTTTTCTGCAGGCCGGGGACCTCCGTTTCATCGCTTCGGGGTTTAGGTGAGAGCAGCAAAAGAAGAAATGCAGCAACGAAAAGAAATATATAAACAGCAGCAGCAGCTGTAGTATCTATGCGAATGCATATTTGTATATACATGCATGCGTGTTGCTGTGTCTGATGTCTCTATTCTAAAAATAATATAAACCAAATCTTCTTTATTTGATTTGTTTACAGGAGGGCCGTCTGCTTGGAGCAGCGAAGAGAAGAAAAACTTTACCTCATCACTCGCCTTGCAGAGAACAGTACGTACACACAAACCCTAAACCCTAAACCCTAAACCCTAAACCCTCATGATTCGTTTTTGCAGAGAAGTTGTTAGCGCATTGGCCGTTGACTGAGCTGCGATGGATTGCAGGCCAGGGTGAGGGTTTTCATTCTTTTGTTTGTTTTGTTTGTTTGTTTTGTTTATTTGTTTGTTTCGTTGTTTATTTTGTTTGTTTGTTTGTTTCGTTGCTTATTTTGTTTGTTTGTTTGTTTGTTCTGTTTGTTTGTCTGTTTGTTTGTCTGTTTGTTTGTGTATTTGTCTGAATTGTTTATTTATTTTTTTGTTTGTTTTTTCTATTTATTTTGTTTGTTTGTTTGTCTCTCTTCTTTTGCTTGCTTAGTGTTTGTTTATTTTTTCTTATTTATTTGTTTATTTGTTTATTTGTTTATTTATTTGTTTGTTTTTTGTGTTTGCGTTATTTGTTTTTTGTTTTTGCCTTTTCTTTTTTCGTCGCTGTCTTTCTCAGTCTCTTCTCAGCACTTCTTATAATTTTAATTTTATTCTTTTTATTTTAATTCTTTTTAATTCGTTTTACGCTTTTCTTTTTTATTATTTTCTTTTGCTCTTACGTCGTTTCTTTTCTTCTTTTCTTGTTGGGTTTACTCTTTTCTTTGTTTTAATTTTTTAATTTAATTTATTTTTATTTTCTTTTCTTGGTTTGTCGTTTGGTTCATTTAACTTTTCTTTTTCTGTATTTTATTTTATTTTATTTTATTTTTCTTTTCTTTTCTTTTGTTTTCTTTTGCTTTTCGTTTCTTCATGTGTTTTTTATTTTATTTTATTTTATTCTTTTCTTTTTCTGTTGATGTTTGTCCTTTTTTGAGTTTATTTTTTTCTTTGCTTTCTATCGGGTGGCACTCGTCTTCTCTTTTTTTGTTTATTTTTTTCTGTCTTTGTTTGTCTTGGTTTCCTCTACTTCAGCATTAGCATCTGCAGTGCTCCTTTATACTCTTTTAGTACACCTTTTGTTTAAATAAATAATCAAATAAAAGATAAAAACAAAAAATATATTTTTTATTCTTCTCTAATTATTTGTGCAGCATGGTATGAAGGAGTTCTTCTCTTCAGAGGACACAGACACGCTGAGGCTGAAAAATGGTAAACCCTAAACCCTAAACCCTAAACCCTAAACCCTAAACCCTAAAACCTAAACCCTAAACCCTAAACCCTAAACCCTAAACCCTAAACCCTAAACCCTAAACCCTAAAAACCCTAAACCCTAAACCCTAAACCCTAAACGGCAAACGAAACCCTAAACCCTAAACCCTAAACCCTAAACCCTAAACCCTAAACCCTAAACCCTCAACCCTAAACCCTAAACCCTAAACCCTAAACCCTAAACCCTAAAACCCCTAAACCCTAAACCCTAAACCCTAAACCCTAAACCCTAAACCCTAAACCCTAAACCCTAAACTCTAAACCCCAAAGCATGAAGCATTTACCCTAAAGCTTACTTCCCTAAACTCTGAAGCCTAAACCCTAAACCCTAAACCCTAAACCCTAGACCCTAAACCCTAATGACTTGGACTGTGCGTTTTTGTTTTGTTTATATTGTTTTGCTTGCCTTCATTTTCGTGTTGTTTCTGTTAATGAAAGAATATTTTTAAATTAATAGCATATTTAAATAAATAAAAAGATATTTTATTATATTTGTACTTCAGGCTAAGTGCAGCGGTGTTGATTGCTAAAGAAAGAAAAGAAGTTTTGTCTGACTCTCAGCAGATTTCTGTCTTTTCTTTCTTCTCCGTTTGCTCTTCGTTAGCAGCAGAAGAAATATCATTTAAAAAACTAAGAATACAACTATAAATATAAACAAATAAACAAACAAGTAAACAAACGAAATATAAATATATAAAGAAAACAAATAACAGATGTGCAGACAGAGAGATAAACAAGAATTAAACAAACAAATAAACAAACAGCATGTGGATGAAGATACCACTGAACTCTTTTTATTCGTTTATTTTTATTTATTCTTATTTATTTTTGTTTATTTTATAATTATATTATATCAATCCTTTTTATTCTTTTCTCCTCTGATGTTAGGCTTTGCTTACGTTGCAAGTATTATATATATAAAACCAGCAATTTAAATAAAGAAACAAAAATCTCATTCAAAGAGTTTTATTAAACATGTTTATCCTTTTTAATAACACTAATTGAAAGCACAGTATATTGCGGTGTATGCGCAGCTCTAGTTAGCTGTCTAGATGATACTTATACTCTAAATACAAACTAAAAGTATTTATCTTTTAGCTGCGAGTTTAGCAGGGGGCCGCATGCAGAGATAAAAAACGAAGAAATAATAAACAAATAGACAAATAAATAAACATTTACATAGAACATATATAAATATGTAAGTATAGAAATATAGAAATATATATATATATATATATATAGGTTTTATTTTTAAACTCTTATATATATATATATATATATATGC